TATTGTTTAACTTTTGTTCTAAGTTAAACTTTTCTAATTTTGATTGAACTTATAAAAAAAAGTGCATTAGCATCAACAATACTGTAACAAATACATGCATTGTCAAGATTCCACGGTGGATTTAACAACATTAATTTAGTGTTATGGATGTTCTGTTGCAATGTCCTTCCGTCGACGGCGATTGGTCACGTCCACTTAGCTCCAGGGGTATTTGATGCAGGAACTAAAGTTTAAGAAGTGTCATATCAGATATCATATGGAGTGTTGTATGTAGTGTTTGGATAGTAATAAAAAAATTACAGAAGTTCTCAGTAATCCGGGAAACGAATTTATTAAGCCTAATTAATCCGTTATTAGCACATGATTACTGTAGCATCATATTATCCAATCATAGACTAATTAGGCTTAAAAAATTTATCTCATAAATTAATCTTAATCTGTCCATTTAGTTTCATAAATAATTTATATTTAATATTCTATATATTAAATATGCGATGAGACAGGAAAGCTGAAACAGGACAGAGCCGCCGGTCACATCCACTTAACAACGAGTCTCCCGCCGGCGGCCGCTCCCTAGCCTCCCTTGACCCTTGCTCCTGCAGTCCTGCTCACGGCGTCTCCCGCCGGCCGCCGGTCACATCAGCTGAAGGAGCGAAGAGCTAAAAACTCACGGCGTCACGTCCGCTGGCGCTCATGCGCTTCACGCGATTGAAACATCCTGTCTGATCGATTTGATGGGAGGAGTCCAAGCTGTTGTTAGGGCCGGATAAAATTCTAATAGCTCGTCAACTCGTTCCACTCGTATCCGACTCGGCTTGGCTCGTTTTAATTTTTTTTACGAGCTGAGTTAGAAGTTTAGCTCGCTGTTTTAACGATTCAGCTCGAGCCAGCTCACGAGCTCAAATGAGCTTAGGCCTATCAGTCCACGATCATAAATCCAGAAGATGATAATACTGACATAGAAATATACAACTATTCCATTGATAGTCAGCCTGTTCGGTTGGATTGTTCGTTTCGTTGTTGGTTCGTGAAGAAGTACTGCTGGTTGGTTTGTGTGAGAGAAAAATACTGTTTTGGCTGGAAATTTACGATCGTTTACGACAAGCCACGGCCAAACGAACAGGCTGAGTAATCCTTATTTTCAGCTGTTTCATATGAATTTTGATTTTATAATTGTTGTGGTACTTAAATGTTGATTTATGAATTGTTTTCTAAGGAGAAGATGATGATGTTGACATTGAATTTGTGGACTTATCTAAGTCTATGATGGCAAGCAACTAGTAAGTATGCTGGAACTACATGGATCATTGATGGACCAGCTATGTTGCATGGTTGATACTTTTGATAAACCTGATATGTATTAATCATGTATGATTGCATAATGGTGGACGTCACCTTCAGAAATTATTATGACATAAATATTATAAACATGTGTGTCCTTTTTTTTTAATAGCTCACGAGCTAAACGAGCCAGCTTGACCTCGCTAACTAGCTGAGCTAAGCTACTCTTCTAGTTCGTAATATTAATGAGCCGAGTTGAGCTGACTCGTTAACTTAACGAGCCAGCTCGAGCTGGACGGAGCTGGCTATCCAGACCTAGCTGTTGTTACTGCCGTAAAAAAAAACCCAACACGTTACACGTACGACCGCACATGCCGTCGCGGCCTCCCATTCCATTCCACGACGGAAATAATAAAAGCGGCCTCGCGCGCCGTAGCCCGTAGGCCGTAGACGAGCGGGTCCGAGCGCCGTTCCCACGAAATATTTTGCTGGAATCCCCAGGGCGGGCGCATGGAACTTCACGTGCGCTGCCTGCCGCTTGCTCGGCCCGCCCGCCCGCCCGCACAAGCAGGCAAGGGCGAGGTGCGGAGCGCGCCGGGAGTCGGGATCGGGACGCGCACGCACGGGCGCGTCAACTGTAGAGGGCTGGAGGCCTGGACCCTGGAAGCGGGCCACGGCTCGACCACCTCGTCGCCTCGTCTCGTCTCGGCCTCGAGGAGCGGGCGAGCGTCGGTCGGTCAGAGGTCAGAACGAGCTGGGGCCTGGGGCGGCCCGAGACGGGAAAACCCCTCTTGCTCTGGTTGAGCCGGATCTGACCGGAGCACGAGAATTTTACACGACCATCGATCGGTTCGCTGCTGCCCGTGCCTCGTCGTCTATGGACGGATTAAGAAATGGAGGAGGAGCAGACGCGTGTCGACGTCCTGGGATGATGCTCGCTGATCCAGCGATAGATGCGACCCGGCCATTACTGATTGCTTTAGGATGGCACGTACTACAGTGCCACTACTATTCCGTAGGGGAGGGGGTATATACCATGCCTGGGAATTGCTCTTCACACTAGCCGCACTGTGCCTGTATGCACGACTGCACGGCCTCCAAAAACCCTAGTGTGTCCGTGTCACTCATACGGCTGTTATACTACTGGTCCACCAGGACCACACCACCTAGTGAAAACTGGTGGTGAATGAATGATGAAAGGAATGGCCCGGAGGAAATCGGCCAGACGAAGCCCAAATTAGGCCTTGTTTCCTTCCGAATATTTAAACATATGTACGGAGTATTAAATATAAACTAAAAATTAACTAATTGCAAGGTTTACGACTAATTTGCGAGACGAATTTTTTAGACCTAAGTAGTTCATGATTTGACAATATGATGCTACAGTAAACATATGCTAATGATGGATTAATTAGGCTTAATAAATTCCTCTCGCGGATTACTGAGAACTTCTATGATTTGTTTTATTATTACTATCCGAACACTCCCATATGACATCCCGATGTGACACCGATGACATCCTAAACTTTACTCCCTGAATTTAAACACCACCTTAGTTGGGCTTCTCTACCTGCTGCATAGGCTCTCTAGCCTGGATATTCCCTACGAACGGCCCAAACCAGCGTTCAATACAAAATGCATGTGCCGACTTATTTCGACGATTCCCGTTGACTCTGGTGAAATTTGGATATCAAATCAAAGTCATTGGTTAGCTTATAAAATGGGTTAGCTTTCCATCCATACGTGAATTGTCAAAAGCGGAGTCTATATGTGACCTGGACGTCCATTTTACCACAGGTTGCTCCTACAGTCCGAGATGGACTCGAACTTAACATGGACTGAGCCTCCAACTTTGCTTGGACGCGTCTTTGTTTGCCTCCTAAGGTCGTGCCTCTTTGCTATAATATACGGAAAAAATGAATTTTGTCTGCAAACGAAGGAGTTCAGGTATTCTCTTCGAACATGAACAAATTGTCTCCTTCGACTCTCAAAACAATTTAACTATCTCTTTATCCTGGTTTTCGTTTACAAACTACCCCATCGGATGATCCTATGCACGTCTTGTTCAACTTGGCAATCCTTACTGAAGATCGTCGTGTATGATCTGCCGAGCCTGATCAACTGATCTGATCGGTGATCCGGTGAGAATCTTTAGGTAATGTTTGTTGTTTCTTCTACGTTTCAACTTGGATCTTGATTAGGAGAAAACTTAGACTCCGACGATACTTTGTGGGTGGGTGGGCGAAAACATTTTCCTTGTTAGTATTAGTCTATGTTTGATATTTGGAATTACTCTAAATTTTCAGAACAATCCAACTTCAATACGGAGTACTTCATACAAAATGTATACCCTAGGTTTATAGCCCAGACCGCACTTAAGAAACATATTCCAGACCAGTCAAAAAAGTGCAATTGAAACTTATACATCATGTTCTTTGTGAGACTCATACAACAAACTATATTTTTTTTTATATATACTCACTCCGTTTTAAATTATAAGTTGTTTTAGTTTTGTCTTAAGTTAAATTTATCTAGCTTTAACCAAGATTATAGAGAAGTAAACAACCATATGCAATATCAAACAAGACTTATTAAATACACCATAAAATATATTTTAATAGTGTATTTAACTATTTATTTGATATTGTAGATTTCAAGTCTTTCTATAAATTTGTACAAGGATAGACAAATTTGTCTTAGACCATAACTAAAATGACTTACAATTTAAAATAGAGTCAACAAGAATTGAAAACGAAAAAGATAGATCCAGTTTACTAAGAAACATTTTTAGGGCACCAAGATCATTTATGAATGTTTTAGACCATTATTGTATTTAAAATTTTGATTTTCTAATTTCCATCAGTGTTGCTTTGATATCATCACTAATAAATAGTTAAATTGAAAGTATGGTTAGTTTCCAACTGACCAGAAATCGTTTCCATATAAAAGGTATCGTTTCCGACTGTTTTCAGCCATGGAGTTAACCCCTTCGTGTAAATACATTAGTGTACAACTAGCAAACATGTTTATGCGATTTTCAGCCATGGAGTTAAAGTCAAATTCCTACCATCATTGTCATTCTAACTCATATGAACATTAGTCAGAGTACAAAGGGCCTTTAGATGCGTTTTTTTTAGCAAAAACATGTTATCGTTGTTACAATGGATCCAATCATACATTTTAAAAAGTCAAATCGTGGATTAAATCATAAATCATTAGTTTTATTTTTTATTTATATTGGATGCTAAATCATTCTAACTCATATGAACAAAGGTCAGGAGTCCATATGACAAAACAAAACATGGATGAGCATTTTGGGAATAAAAAATGTAGATTAGAAGAAACTCTTTACTCTTCAATATTATATCAGGTAGAGAGTCGATCATTACAGAGATGTAGCCATTACTACCATACCATGACCTCAACTGCACAATATCATTGTCAGATTCAGATGAAATGAAATTCCCAATCATCTGAATTTCAGGTGATGACAGGGAAACATCGGCACTCGCAGTAGGAGGTGTGCTCGTGAAAGCTGCAATGACCGCACCAGAGCAAATGCAAGGATGAGACGCAGAACCGTCCATCCATAATGTTGCTGCGTCTCAAATTTCAATACTACGTTTTTGCAATTCAATTATGAAGTTCGATCAATATGTCTGGTCATTTCATCTTCTCATTTGCTGTCGACTGCGTAATATGCATAGCTAGACAGTGATTTACAGGGTAAACACCACATTGGTGATGTCCGGGAATTTCTCCTTGATGGCCGCCTTGATACCGCTGCCGATGGATTCCGGCCCGTCGTACCTCACCAGGCAGTCCTCGCCATCGACGGTCAGCACATCCACGCTCCCGCCGTAGTTCGCGATCGCTGGCCGCAGTATGTCCAGGTGCCGGTTCACGGCCTGCAGCAGCAGCACCAAAGGATCCGCTTGCCAATGAGTGATATTGGTTATAGTACCAGTGTACTGCAACGGTGCTATGCTACGGTGGTGGAGTTCGCTCACTGACCTCGGGCGTCGTCTCCGCCTCCGCCGGCGGCTGATCCCCGTCGAACACCTGACGGATTTCCTTGAAAGCGTCGCCGAACTTCTCCTTGAGCACACGCTCGATGCCCATATTCATCGTCGTCGTCGAGCTGGGGCAGCTGCTGCATGCTCCTACATGTTGCAACCAGGGAAATCGACTGGTATAAGATTTTGATCCTACCCTACCAATCGAAGTCCACAAGATTTATTTACCTTCAAGCTTGAGGGAGATGACACCATCCTCGACGGCAACGACAGTGACGTTGCCGCCGTCAGAGATGAGGTAGGGCCGGACGTCGTCCAGGACGCGATCGACGTTTTCTGGGGTCAGATCGTACGTCGCCGCCGAGTAAAGGCCGCCTCCCGGCGCCGGCGGTGTGGATGCGGAGGCCGCGGCCAGGCATCCCCGCGAGCCGGAGGTCCAGATCTTGGAGGTTCCGAATTGGAGGCGCCGAGGGGGTGGGAGTGGGTTCGGTTTGGCGATTCGGATGCGGATTCGCGGCGGAGGAAACAAGACGGCGGCGCCGGCGGCGGCAAGTAACGCTTCCATGGGATTGTGTGGTTGCGTGTTAGCGTGCGCGTTTGCTCTTTTTGCTGCCGTCCAAGAAGTTGGGGCAAAGAAATTTACAAAATGTAGCGGAAATTACAACAGAATTTAGCCCTTGTTTAGTTCGCGAAATTTGGATTTTGGCCTACATTAGCACTTTCGTTTTTATTTGGCAAATAGTGTTCAAACATGGACTAATTAGGCTCAAAACGTTCGTCTCGCAATTTCCCACCAAACTGTGTAATTAGTTTTTCTTTTCGTCTATATTTAATGCTCCATGCACGGGCCGCAAACATTCGATGTGACAGGTACTGTAGCAACTTTTTGAAAGTTGGGGTGGAACTAAACAAGACGTTACTTGCTTCTTTCGTCGATAATTTTTTTTTCGAGAGCATGCGTTAAGAAGAAAGGAGTGTTAGACTGTCTCCAACGGAGTACCCAAACCGTGACCCATCTGCATTTTGGGTAGTGCACAGTGCTTTTGCGGGGAAAAACCGACCTCCAACGGACTACCCAAACACAGCAGCCATTTTGCGTCCGACGAAACACGGTACGCAAACTTGCGTCCTCTCTCGTTCCCTTTGTGTCTCCTCCACGCAGGCGGGTCCCACCACCACGAGCTCGGGGACGACCGGAGCCGGGGCGGAGCTCGGGGACGACCGCGCTGGGCGGAGCTCGCAGCGCACGCTGGTCCGAGCTCACCGGGCGCGCTGGGTCCGAAGGCGCTCGGCGGGGCCGGGTCTTCAGTCGCCAAGGAGGCGCCGGGCCGCAGCGTCTGTATGGCGGCCGCGCTGAGCTAAGCTTCGCTAGGGCGGCGGCGGGCCAAAGGCCGGCTGAAGGCTGGGTGGAGCTGCTTGGGGGGCCGAGCTCATCGGGCCTAGCGCCTGGGCCGGGCCGAGCTCGCTGCTCGCTTTCTTTTGCGTCCTCGGTTGGAAAACGGGAGGTTTGGGTGCCTATCCATTCTACTGTGCGTGACCCAATCAACCGAATGCGTCTCACGTTTAGGTCTTCCTCGTTGGAGACAGTCTTACAACAACATATGTGAGCGTTGATGGGACAAGTAGCAACCTGTCTAAGTAAATAGCAAAAGCTATGAATTTAAAAAAAAACGAAACATCTTATAATTTGAAATTGATTAAGTATTTACTAATAATTTATATATGGACTACTTAGTTTTTTTCCTCTACATTCATTTGGAGATCAAGTTGTCTATTTTTCGTAGTTTGTATAAACTTTTTTGCCATTAGCAGTTGTGTTTTACATGGAATTTGTGTTTAGCTAGCTTTTTCTTTCCAAACGTTAATTTTCTTAATTTATTTAAAAAAAAACTCGGCCAGCCAGGGGTATGACCTCTCCTAGGGTATTGTAATTAAGGTAGAAGATCTCAACTATGCTCGTCAAGAAAATCCCCAACCCAGGCATTTGATGTCTAGGGGATTTTTTTAACAACGCGCGCCACGAGCTACCAACTCGTAGGCACAAGCAGGCCTGTTAGTATATAGGTTCTAGCGCCCACCAGTGAACACATATTTTGCCATGTTAGCAATGTTAGAATCCTAGGTACGCTAATTTACCAAGTTGTTGCATGTATTCATGCAATTTACAAGTTATTGGACCAATGTACACCCACTCGTCCAGTTGTTGCATGCGGATGTATTTCAATCTATGCATAACTATGAGTTTACCACCTAAAAAACTTGAAAATATGTCCCTAAAAGATCGTTTGGCGGATATTATCATATAGGGATTTGCTAAATTTCAGGTGCCTGATTTTTAGTTTTCTTTCAGACGACGATTATTGCATATATTTTATACTAAAATTTCTGTAGACACAATCCGTAATTTTTTGTTCCAAGAATAAAAACACGTTAGACAAAACCACAAACCTTATTACCTAAGCGACACTTTGCAAGTGAAGTTAAGCTTCACATCTGCCGTATCCGTGAAGAATTTCATGTGCAAATTATGAATCGGTTAAATTCTTTGTAAATTTTCTTTTTTCCGTCCTCTCCCTGCCTTTGGGGTTTAGTTTTGCTCTATATAGGTAAATTCTCTTTGGGTTAGCTATTGGCTACCCCTTTCTCCTTTTGTACACCTATCCTGATTTCTTAATAAAAGCCCTGGGGAGCAAAGCTCCACAAACTAAAACCCACAAACCTGACAAAATCTAATATATGTTGGCACAAAGATAATTTATAATTATTTTTATAGTTAGATAAGGACAAAAATTTAATATATTATGACACAAAGGCAAATAAAAAATTATAAAAGTATTAATTTACCTATACTAATTGATAGTACCAGAGTGTTGCCTGAAATCATCTTAAAATTTAGGCAGCTGGAATATAGGAGAGATGTATCATATATTGTCCTCTATGATGAAAAGAACTACAGTATTTAGACCATGTTCCAACAACAAAGATGCATGTACAGAACAGATATGGGTAATTAAAAGAAACATGTTCATAAGCCATTCATAAAGGAAAGTACATCTTTTTTAGATAATGGAAATTTATTTGATGAAGAATAATAAAAGGTCCGTTTTTGTACATCCAAAGATGCATGTACAGAACAGATACTTATTACAAGGTTTTTAAACCAACAGACAGACTGAAACGAAGAGGACATTATTTCAAACAAATTTTGAGTGAACAAACAGAAGTCCTTCAAAACAAGCACCACACAATTTGTAGATGAGCAAAGCACGAGCGCAAGGATCAGCAGTGCCGTTTCGGAATGCAGATCTGGCCAGTCATGTGCCAACTTTCACCTCCATCAGGATGAGCATAAGGGCATGCCGGTGTGTACTCGTCCTCCATGACCAGGAGGTTCCACTGCGCATGAGGGTCATGCGTCGAGAACACGGTCCACTACTACAGAATGGACCTGTTGTCCCGGGCGGTAACAGCCTTTAGTCCCGGTTACCGCGCCGGGACAACGATCCCGGGACTAAAGGTGGAACCTTCAGTCCCGGGTCATCGAGCCGGGATTAAAGAGGGACCTTTAGTCCCGGTTGGTAACACCAACCGGGACTAAAGGCCTCCACCGAGCGAACTGGCGCAAGATTTTAGTCCCGGTTGGGGTTACCAACCGACTAATGGTTCACCCTTTAGTCCCGGTTGGTAACCCCAACTGGGACTAACGGTTCCTTTTCTTTTTCTTTTTTTTTTGTTTAATTTGTTTTCAGTTCAGTTACACGTATTTGTTTAATATATAATATGTTTTTATGTACGTATTCTACGTTGCTAATATAAATACACGCATGCATATAATTACATCTAATTCTCATCTTGAGCATTATTATATTCGAATAAAGTATGAAACTATATATATTATAGATATATATATATATATGTGTATATACAACACTTTCATAATCTTGTTCTCGAAAATAACGATATCAATAAACATTTAATTTACATCATTTATTCCTTAAGATCAAAGTAGAACTCGCTGTTGGGATTTAGCACTTTTCTAGAAGATATCCCGCTATTGACTCTTGAACCGCTTTCAGATGGTCTTTTGCATGACCCTTCGTTTCAACCATTCAGTCTTGCATTTGAAATAAAAGGAAAAGTATTAATACACATATATGTATATATATTCTTTTAAAAATAAATAAATATTGATATATACGTACTCTGAGGACATCTTCAGGAGTTCTTCTTATGTGCGCAGTGATAAATTCACAAACGTAGTATCCACACAAGTTATTACCTGGTTCCTGCCGCAAACACCACTGTACGAGAAGAAGATTATTCTCATCATCTCACACGTAAATTGAAGTACGATATAGTAATTAAACACGTGGGGAAGTGTATATAGTACAACTTACTGGTATTTCAACTACATTAAGTGGTGCCTTGCAATCCTTGCGATGTTGCCGAATAAACTCTTTCCAAACCCTGTGCGACCAATAATGTACGATCGTTAATAAATTATGGCAAAGTCTATTCAATAATAGTTGTGCGCGAGAGATCGAAATTACCCCTGGATAATATCTATCATATCTTGGTATAGTGCCCGTTCTTTTCTCAACGAGTCAAAGATTAGTAACCGACTTGAGTTTAACTCAATGACAATGAGTATCCAGTGAAAACTGCATTGGTTTATACACACACGTACATGCATATAAGTTGTATTGATATTACATAAAATGTGTAGACTACATTATTATTAACACTTACTCAAAGTTGTACGGGAAAAGTATTGTTGTCTTGTCGTGCTGCTTCACGAAGAACTTCATGATATTCCTCTGTGCTTCAGATACCCAGTGGTCCTTGACAATAATATCGGTTTTGAATACGATATAAGGATCAATGAAGCCAACACTGGTGTCTTGTATTCTTTGGAGCTCTGACATCTGGAATCTATATATAAATATAAGTTACATGTGAGGATAATTATATACACGTACGCATGGAAGTGAGTTTATTAAATAAAAGTAAGAATCACTTACAAACAAAAGGAGCTCATGATTGATTTGTCCAGAGCGTCCAAGTGGAATAGTTGATGCAATTCTTCGAAACTAATATGTAAGATGTCATCGCCACGGAAGTAATGATGGTCTCTAAATCTGACAAAGATCCACTGCTCACCCCTGCCACACGCCTGCATGTACCACTTGTTGAGCAAGTACATTTGCGTACCCAATTCATTCAGAGCCGCAGGGTTGTACAGACTTTTGCCATATTTATAAGTCTTCCAGGTATCAACTTCCGTGTTCGGATTGAGCTTTGCCCGTCAATTGATCCAAGGTTAAACCAAGATCTTTAAAAAAAAGCATTAAGGGCTTGAACCGACACTTCTCCGAGTTGTCCGGTCGATAGACTTCTATGTTGGAACCATATTCATTAGCAACAACAAGATTTTGCATTGGTTGCTTATGTTGTCCGAGAAATTTGTGGGACATCCTTCCCCGATGCTCTTTTCCTTTTCTTATCTCGCATCATGTGACTTCACGAGGGAGCGGTCATAGTCCGATAGTGGCGAAGGCTTATGAA